ACCCCGGGCGCGGGCCATGACACGTGTGGAGCTAGCGGGACCGGCGCCCGGGGGAGGCCGGTGCTTTGTGTCGCCTCCCGGCTGCTTCGTGTCACAGGTGTCCGTCTGCACGTAGCGTGCAAGGGGTTGTAAACTCACTTTTATGGCCGTAGCTCCTGTGAAAAGTTACTTGAAGTTCTGCTGGAAATTTGCTAGCGCTAATGTGGCTGCGCATCCAGGTAGGTTGTCGCTACAGAGGTCCCTTTTCCTTCTCCTGGAATAACTATGCATTAATTATCATACACACAACGACCTGAGAGAACCAGGAGTTCCTGGCTGAGGTTTGGATGCTTAAAGGTTGAATAACTAACTCTGCGATGATTATCATAAACACTATGAGCCGAGAGAACCGGGAGTGCCTGGCTGAGGTTTGGGTGCTTAATGTGTTAAAGAATGAGGAATGACTTCGAGGTATTGCTTGGTGTTCGAGGAGCTTCATCAGCAAGGAGCAAATGCAATTTAAAAGAAAATAAAAGGTAAAACTGGTTCTGTTGCAATGATTCCTGTGTCTCAGCAGAACGTGGTGCTCCAGTATTAAAACTCTTGCACTTTGAAATCAGTAGTGAAGGGTTGCGTATCAGGTATCGTCAGCTATGACAAATAAAAGATTACACCTAGGTCTGTTAGACGTACAAAAGATGTTATCTAAATAAAGCTGCTTAAAACTGGTCAGACTTGCTTTCTGTAGTGCAGCAGACTTTTTTTGTAAGTAAAAAGGGTCTGTAGCAAAATCATCTCAAAGTACAAAGTGTGCAAGAGTGAAAGGATGTCCTTTAAAGGGTCCTGTTGAAATTTTTTTCCCTGATAAAAATTGAAAAGGGAAAAAACCCCGAATTTCCTAGTGCGTTTAATATTTGGGCATTTTAGTACCACTGCCAAGTACTGTAATTACTGAATATGCATTTTTATAGCATGGCTGCTACACTCTAACACTTTAAAATGTTCTAATGATTAATAATACTTCCTGCAGTCCCCCTACCTTAATATTAGAGAACTTCTAATTATGTTAGTGAAGCTATATGATCAGAAAATCAGCAGAAGTATTAAGGCTTATTTGTTCATATTGTCTGTAAAAGCAGTTTGTTGTAATTGAGGTGTGAAACTTAGTGAGGATCTGAGAACTTTCTTGGTCCCGTTGATCAGTTCTTTAGGAAATATTAAGAAATTATGATTTATCAATGCTAAAATAATCGAGTGTAGAGTGGTGCAGCTGAACTGGGATGTGCATCCCTGGGTGATTTTTGGCTGGACAAGCCCAACCCAGCAAGGGGAGCCAGCAGAACACAGGGGTGTCCAGCCGAAAGGGCCGTGTGTGTGTGTGTAACATCTGAAGGCAACTGTTAGCGACAGTCACTCTTTAAATTGTATTTTCCTCAGGCCTGTACCTGAGCTGTTTCACAAGGTCTGTGTAAAGCTCCTCCAGTTGTGCCCTGATTAAAAGGGGACCTGGTGTTTGTTGTGTTAGGTTTAGCCAGCAGCACTTAAAGCCCATTTGTGCCAAACCAGTTTCTTCAAGTTGAGTGTGAAGTTCCCAAATTACAGGAGCAAATACTCGTGTTGTCATAACCCTTTCTATAAGTGATCTCAGGGGCGTGCTGCACTTATCACTTGTTGGATTTTTACATCCAGGTAGCTTGAGGATTCAACAAAGGTGTATTTTATGTCAAAATAATTTTTAGTTTGGACTTTCACTTAAATTTTATAGAATTAAGGATAGCTCAAAGTACTCATTACAGCCTTGTATTGGCAGTCTGAGAGATCTCTGACCTTGGCCTTGCTGGAACTACAGGCAACAGAGCTACTGTGAAATAGGTTTTTATTTTGAAGATTAGCTTGTGCCTTCTGGTGCTCTTGTCCATCAGCTGTGGCACAGGAGGAAAAATCCGAGGAATGGTTTTCTCTGAGGACTCTGCTTGTTGACTAAATTAAGGATTATGTTATTAGCAGTAAGTGCATTTCCAGTAGCACTTGTGTTGACTTGGAGTAAAAACACCTGGCAAGGAAAGGAGGTGATCTTGAAAGTAGGAAACAAATTTTCACGCTTCAAGTCACAAGAACAGCATGAACTTTTGGAAGAAATTATTGAAGGTCAGGATTGAATTATTTTGCCCTTCTTTTTGGGGGGGGG